AACACAGAAATATCTTCTAAATTGTAAGACTTTTTTGGAGATAATAAAGATTTACTGATAGAAGTTCTACCAATTACCCCATAGCTGGGAGAAAAGAGTTGGCGTTATACTTTTCCCATATGATACTTGCGCGTAAGCCAATATAACGAACCCGAATTCGAACTCTGCTCTCCGATTTCCAATTCCGAGCCTTTATCCATTACGCCACAGGCACATCCAAGTTTAGAGCATCTGGTATTCCCAAGCGGTCATGATATGAAAAATTGCACCTTGGAAAGATATCCGACATTATCATTATGAGGTTTGTGTTTCTGTCTTCGGACAGGGTGCAACTCGGTTATGTCTCCGTCTTTGGACAGACACGCAGCTGGGAAAAAATACTGAGAGGTGCCCAGTTCCGGGAAACAGTTGCCCGCGACAGTATCCACTTACACTAAAAAAAGGGGGGGTCGGTAGTAATATCGATGCCAGTGCAATCGACGGTTGCGGGGACTGAACAATCTTTGCCCTGGGCCGGATGTACACGCTTGGATGCCCCTAATTAAACCCGACCTTGTTTCGCATCACGTCGCCGGGGGTGGGGAGGACGAATAAATGCCTAAATTTTTCAGTGACCCTCAAAGATTAATAGATTCAAAATACATCTGAATGAGTCCGAAGAACCTGTCCATTGAAATTTGTCAGAAATGAAAAAAAAAAAAAGGTTCCTATATTTTGATAATGCTTTTTCCTTATACTTTAGACAATAATTATCAAAACGATGAAATGTGATAATATCAAATATAGTCTCTTTTGGACATGCACGTAGGAAAAACATGGCACCTTTAAAAAATAGATGACATAGAAATAAATATTTTATTATACTATAAAGCTAATCCATACGAGAGAACGAAATTTCGATAGATTGACGAAATCATGTCTTATATAATTATAAGAATTTTAAGCCGAAGTTTTATTTAGCAACCGAGCTATTAATAAACGATAGCATTTAAAATCAAAGTTCGTCATTTAAACAACACAATTAAAACATTTTCTGTGTTTGTTGGTTAATAAAGCACATAACTTCTTTAATTGCATTTTACACTTGTGCTGCTCACAATGCGTGTTGAGGCCCTACACAATCGTTCGGTCGCCTGTCCGTAAGATTATTGCATTGAACGTAGCGAAAGTATTGGATCCTTTTATTTCAGAAGAACTGCGTCCTGTAAATCAGGAAATATTACAAAGATAGACATTCCGTAATTTACAAACCTTGGCCTTGTTTTAGAACAGGATCGCAAGTTTAGGACACCGGTATAGGTCGAATTCGCTATTAATAATTTATGAGATTAGTTTGCTACCTGTTGTAGGGAACGAACCGATAACTCTCAATATACAAAGACCTGATACACATCTATTAAATGGACTGTTCCATTAGGAATATAAACATCTATGATGTTGGTCGGGGGGGGCGCTTTCCGGCTTCAGACGAATTTGTAACTATTTACTTGTATTGTTCTTGGTTAAAAGAAACCCTTATACATTGTAAGTTTCCGTTCTAGTTATTATTTCAATAACCACTCCCGGACAACATTACAAAACTACCCATTACTCTACGACGGGGTAGACCGGGACTTCTAGCTTAGGGAGGGCAACTAGTATAGAAGAAAGTTCCAGAACCTGGAGAGGGATGGGTTTCGTCATGCTATCTTGCCCATAACCACTGCAGCTGTTGCATGTGTGGTGGATCGACAAATCTAATTTGGTTACGTTAATCATGATCAACGTCACATTGTAATATTATATGGTAATATTAGCCGTTTCCTTATAAGGAAACATTCGGAATTCATTGACCGAGCAGCCAGTACCACCGTCGGTTGAAATTTATAAAATCTTTCTCTTAAAACAATTTTTTTCAGGAAAATAAGTTTCTCTAATCAAGTCAAGCTTTTATTTTAAGTAGTGTGGAACGTAAATCACTTGGTTTTCTTTATTTTCTCTTTGAGTTCCATGTGTTATACATTTTATGTGTTGCTGTTGTTGAAAATTCTCAAGTGATATTGTTTTTGTTGTTTGGTACAGTGATTCTGTAGCGCCTGTCCACAATGTTCAAAGAAGGATGAACTCCACCAAAACCCACACGCATCACTCGCTGAAAGCCATTTTTAACCATTGATCTTAGAAAGTTGTTGTAAACAGCTGACGGTTTCGATATTTCTGAACGGATTTGGTGTCATGCATGACATCTATATGGAAGTCTCGATTGTACGAGGCTATTTAAGAACATGACTCCTTTTGGGTTTAATGTTTTGATTTTGTAACCATTTTCAGTGTTGGGTGAAACTACCTCCAGCGCAGCCTATTCTATGTTCAGTTTCCTTTTCTTCTATACTAAATGTGTTGTAATTGATACATAAACTGAGTATTTACTAATTCCACATCCTATATTTTTAAGATGGACTTTAGAGTATGTGTCATCGCTGATTTCATTCTAATTCCAAATCCTATTTTCTATTTTGGAAACGTTTATCTTGAGACCTATTTCTTGGAACACTTGGTAGGAGACTTTGATTTTTTTTTAATAGCATTCTTATTCTTATTCCAATCTATGAATACCTATGTCATCAGCAGATCCACCCAGCCTCATTATCAGTACATTGGTTTTAGAAGGGAAAGCAGGCATGCTGTTTTCTATTAGTAGATTACTTTAGGATATGGTAGCTCGGATTGAGGAATCGGAGAACCAAGTTCGAATTCCAGTCGAATCCATTACATTCACTTACGTACTAATAGCCTTGGGAAAGGTATGAATCCTCCTCTTCTCCCCAACTATGGGTAAATAGCAGGACAGACCGGGTTCTGTAGGCTTGGATGGTCTACCGCAGAAAGAAATGGCAACCTACTGCGGAAAAAAATCTGCTTCGTCAGTCATGTATCGAAAGAGATACATGATCGCCTAAGCGTGTATCACGCATGACACCCAACTGACTGATAGGATGTTTAAAAAGTCAATCATAACGGAGCTATCTATGCAATTTCCTGCAGTTGTCTGGTGACATATGCCATCATTACACCTTTTACCAGAACGAAAACCAAACTGTGTATCTGAAGTGTTTGGTATTTACTAATTCCTCACACTGAATTTTTATGATGGATTCAGATTATCTGCCATCACCGCTTTCATCCAATTCCAGATCATAGTTTCTGTTTTGGAAAAGTTTATCTTGGGTCCTATTTCTTCGAACACTTGGTATTTTATTGGCTAGGAAGAAATCCCAGCATGCATTTGTATGCTTCTACCTATAAATTGGATTGGAGAAAGTGTTTTGCAGTCGTTCTCAGTATGATTAGAACCAACAATATCTCCTATATTAAATGTGTTAAAACTGATCCACACGTCGAGGTATTTGAACTGTTTCGAGTTGATTAATTCTATATCCTGAAATGTTATGGATTCAGAGTATGCGCCATCACTGCTTTCATTCCAATTCCAGATCACAGTTTCTGTTTTGGAAAGGTTTATCTTGGTCCTATTTCTTGGAACACTTAGTAGAGGATGCTGATTTTGTTTTTCTGTTAGGTCACTCAATGTTCGCTACTTACACAAAAACTGTTTTAACCCTACTAAAATGTAACTTTCGCTATCTTTCTTTAAGAGATATAACTTTCTGTATTCGAAGTTGTCAAAATATTGCCGCGGCAATCAGAACTCGTAAATGATCACAATCAATACCAACGCAAACATAAATCGCTGTATTGATGCCTGCTTATGCTAGCCTATTTTGAGGAAAAATGGAAATAAATTGACTATAACGATGCCGATGGCGAATTCTCAGAGGCACTGTTATTTGGGATTCAACAGAATACTCTGCAATCTAGACTAAACAAAACGAGACCCTAATATACAATATAACTTTAAAAAAAAAGTCAGAAAACAGGTCGTACTATAGACTATTATATTCCTCCGCTGATTTGGAAATATCCCTGAGTGGCATTTAATTTATAACGCAAATGCGAAGGAAGGGCATTTCCGTGTCTTCAAAAACGTATATATACGTCGACAGCAGTCATAAAGTTCATAAAGACGTATATGTACGTGTGCAGCAACGGAGAAGTTAAATATGCATATAACACATTCACGGTGGCTGATGATTTCAGAAGTGATATTATGATGGCATTATGATCTAATACTGGCAGACGTCTTTAGTATAAACAAGCTAAAGACGCCTGCCAGTATTAAATTATGTCCGAAACGATTGTGCCACTTTGCCAATGATGTGAATCGATTTGATTAAATGTGATTTGGTTTTAAGTCGGAAATATCGCATTAAAAAAAGTAACGATAAACAAAAATATTTTAAATACAAGAATAAATGCAAGACAAAAACAGTATTTAAAAAATTAAAACGATTTAATAGATAAAAAAATTATCGGATTAGATTAACTGGAAACATTTAATCGGTTTAGGATTAAAACAAAAATCTTCCGGAACAGTCGAAATGGAGTGAGAGTTGCGAACGATTACAAAATACCTTTTCGACTTTTTGAAAAATACAATAAATCCTCGATTTAACAGACCCCGATATAAGGGCCTTCAATTTTTAGGGATCTTATCACAGGTCCGTTCTTTTTATTTATTCATAAGACATTAATAGAATATTGTAAATCTTTCTTTTCTTTTTGTAATGATGACCATTTTAGATTAAATACATTTTTTTTATGTGAACTTTGATGTCCATGATAGATTTGAGAGATGATTTCATAGCATTGCTAAAATGTTTAAATGCCATTCATCAGCACTTAAAACGGTGAGAAAATACTTAAAATTCTTTATTCTAATTTATTTTTGTTTATAATACTGTATTTTGTATTAAAGAATTTTTTCTTATACATTAAAAATTTTCAATGAGCAAAAAAGCAAATGGCGTCTTACGTTATATTCAGCTTTAACAGAAACCTTTTTTTTCACTCTAACCACCCCCTTTACGTCCGTTAAATCGAGGTGTTAATGTATCTACAAAAGAGTTTCGTTAAAGTTTGTGATTATGGACAAAGGAGGGCAGATTGTTTGTATGCTTATATGGTCATGTGAGTATACAAGTAAAAAAAAAAAAAATGTACTAATTAATCTTACTTTAACCTGACACAATGTAGTAACTAGTTCACTAACTGTTGCTCTACGCCAGGCGTCCTGTTTGCGATATTTACTGTGTATACGTGCAGGTATTAGAGAATGTTTATTAACTACCTCTTTGTTCGATCCACTACAATAGTGAGGCATTCAATTAGGATTTAACTCATTGACAATACCCTACGCGAATGACTCCCTCCCCATTGTTCAAGGACAGACATCTTTGCATGAAAATATTAGTTTGGACCCAAAATCAATGTAATATGCCAAATGTGTTTTTTCTGGTTTTCTCGACCATGTAAAATGTGAACAAAAAGACGCGTTTTTGTCTTTGAACCTGTGTAAATATAATATTAATAGACCTCCTGATATGCGCGTCTATATTTGCGTATGGTGATTTTTCTGAGCGTAGATTGGATGTGGCCGGAGGGTATGGACACCCCGTTTATATTTGCTTATGATTTTTTGGCAGAAGTATTTTTCATTTGATTGTATACGTATATATAAATTGAATTTAAGAATAATACACTTATGCGTAACTACGCCACTCTGAAAATGTATGTACGCAAATAATTGTTGTTTGTATACTAATATATTTTTATAAATTTCAAGAAATCTGTCTGGCAAGAGATAACGGAAGCTGTTTTTAGTTACATTTTTTGTTATTCTTATTTTTAAACATTATTTTCAGATAAATTTTATAGTTTAAATAACATATTTTGCATATCTATCAAAGTATAATCAATTTAATAGAAAAAAAACACTCGAATTGAGCAGGTTGAGTGAAATCCATCATGTAATCGACGCTGGCTTTGCTTACAAAAGAATAAAAAAAAAGGCATTAGCAGCGACACCTGGCGAGAACATGGCGTTATTATGATACAATTAAAAAGGGCTTAGTAACAGCGGCAGGAGCTTGGGAGAAGATAAATATTGTATCGAGTCAACAAAATAAATACTGTCAAAGACAACCGGTGATGACAGAATTACATAGAGGAAAGCATAAACGATTTTTATAACGAATGTCATGTGTTAATCTGGTCTGGGGTCGGGTTAGAGGTCGTAGTCCAGAAAAATGGACAAAATTTCTCCATAATTCAATTCGTTGGTTCAAGAGCATTACCAAAAAAAGTAGCATAAAACATTTGGTATTTCAAAGGTATTGTAATTCCGAAGAAACGCAAATCAACGAAAATGGCCCGGTTGTTATTACAGTTACAAGATTTTCACGATGATAGTTGGTGTTTGTTTTTTGTTGTTGTTGTTTTTTGGGGGTTTTTTTGGCTTTTTGTTTTTTGTTGGTTTTTTTTTTTTTTTTTTTTGAAGCAGACATTTTTTCTCCTTTCTTCATCTGTTTTTTTTAATTATTATTATTAATTATATTCAGCTCTACTTCTGTTAAAAATAGAAGATGGACGAAATGAACGTCTGTTGGGCCCAAAATATAATTATGTAGATTTCGCTTTAGAAATAGTGTTTGTGTTCAACTTGAATTAATCTAGAATAGTGTAAATATATGCTCATGTGTAATATATATATATTGTGTGTGTGTTATACGAACAACAGAATATATAATATTTCAATATTTCAGCATCTATAATACTTTCTTATTTTTCTTTCATTAATATTAGTAAATAATACGCACAGATGAAAAATTTAGTTAATTTGGTTCAACTACTTTTATCTAAGTTGGGTATTCTTAAAATCGGATATAAGACGCACACACAAGATTTGATTATATACAATATAAGCATTGTTTATATAAGTAATTTCTGTCGTTTAATTTTTATCCAATGTCACTCAACTGATCGATTATAAGTACGCGATAAATTGTTTTCAACATGTAAGAGTAACATCCTTGTGAAACGGCCACATACCAGAATACACAGGCCGATAGACGTAATATATTGTTTAAAGTAAAAATAAAAATGAGACATATTTCAAATACTCGTATCTACTAAATAACATATAATACAGTGTAACCCGGATATAACATGGTTGTCGGGAAGGGGGAGAAGAAGTCTCTTATATCCGGGTTTCTCTTATGCCCGGGTTTGGTCCATTTTGTTTAGGCAACACAGGCTCTAATTTGGGACCAGAGAAAATCTCTCTTATATCCGGGTTACACTGTATAAATTTAATCCTTAGCTGGCCTTTATATAGTATAATATAGTATAAAGTGTATATTTTAAATGTTTGTAGTAGAGAGCAGATGTTTAATTTTTTTTTTCATAAAGCAGTAATGATTATAAAAATGTTAATTATACATTTGTTTGTGGGGGGGGGTATACTTATGTTTTGTTTTCGAACATACAATATCCACTCGAGGCCGGCCCCGTGTCGCTTTTTTTTTTTTTAAGGGGTTATTTTTACAGGCACTCAGTTCTTAGTGCTTTTCGTTTGTTCCCCTTCTTTAAAGAAGAGATGTGATGTCCAAATCCTTTTTACACGAAAACGTCTTAAAATATGTCTGTCCGAATTGGAGAGAAAATATACACGGTGAAATTCATGTTGTAATTAGTATCCATATTGCGATTTTGTTGTTTTATTTTGTTTTTGCTTTTTGTTTTATTTTTGTTTTTACTTTTTTATTTATTTTTATTTTTTTATTTATTTTTTTTTTTTTTTGGTGTGGGGGTTGTCTGTTTAAACAAAACGCGGCATTTCTCTCCTTTCGCAAAGCCTATAATTATGACTAAGCGCATAATTCAGTATATAATTTTACACTTGTAGCTGGTACTGTAACCATTTTTCCACATGCGTACTTGGATACAGCAAGTACTATCGAGATTATAATTATCATTAGTCAGTGATGGTCCGCATTAGTAGTAATTGGCGCTTTACACTGAAGCTGCTAATAATTGTTATTATTATTATGTTTTTGTTTGTTTTGTTTGTTTGTTTTTTTGTTTTTTTTAAATAAGGAAGACATTTTTAATATTATTCAATTTTTCTTACATGCTTAAAAAGGCTTTGTACAATGTACTATTCTTGATATTTGGCATTTCTTCTTTCGACCCAGGTATCATTGTAGATATATTAATTACTTTCCTCTGGCTCCTCTTCTTTTCCCACCAGTATGAATTTATTTTTACTCTATCTCTATTTACACGGAGCTTGAGATTGAATAGCCTTGATCTAATAAAGAAAGTCGGTATCTTTCTCATCGAATTGTCCATAGGGTGTCGGAGTTTGAGTGAATGATCTTCGTTTTCTCTCCTCGGCTATGCTATAAGCAAAAGCCCTCTCATTTTGGAACGTCCGTGACCTATCAAGTGACGACCGAATGAAAGGTTCTGTTCCTGTTGGTACCTCCGAATTATAGCCGAAATGATCACTGGAAGGGTCATCAACAGGTTTTCCTTTCGTCTTTTTCTTGGATTTCTTCTCTTTCTTTTTCCGAGAACTCTTAGATGATTTTTTGCTGTCAAGTGGTGGAGGCAGGGATCTGGGGCGTGCTGGTATGGGATGTGGATAGTAGTAGGCCGGATAGATGTAAGGGTTATAAGGGTAGATCATCGGTTGAACCATTCCCGGTGACATCGATCTCCTTTTTTGCATCTCGTGCTGTTCCCGACGACTGAGGCGGGACTTTTGAATATCAGGCGCAGTGAATACCTCATAGTCTCGAGGTGGGGTGTTTGGCCGTGATGAATCACTTGATGAACCAGCTTCGTTTCCATTTGTAGTCAGGTCATCCTTTTTGCTGTTTGATTTTGCCGAGTTTGACGGAGACAAATTAGCTTTTGCAGTTTCCCCGCTTCCAGAAGACTGACAGGACGAAGGAGAGTGGTCTTTGCGTAGCTGGAGTGGCATCCGATATGCGTATGGTGGGTAATTAGGTATATGGGGTTGCATGTAAATATAAGGATCCTTTCGACTCGCATTTCGAGACATTGGCTGCGTTGGTGGGGAAAGGAACCTTCTGGGAGGCGGCAACGTGTTAACAAGAATTGATCCACCTTTTTTCATACTCATGGGAGCTATATGACGAATGAATTGAGGACGCATAGGGGCCATAGGGTGCGGTACTAAAACGTTGGGTTGCATTGATGCCGCGCTTCTAAAGGAAGATCGGTCCAAAGTCCTTGCTTCGTTTGATATGTTCCCATTGGGTAAACTATCGGCAACCCTTTCAACTGTGTAACTCTTCACATTATCTGGCCCTGCGCTGTAGAAATAACCGTGTGCGGGTGGCGCATCGAAAAATTCTTGGGGTACTTCGCTCTTCGTTGATTTCTGGTCAGCGGGAATTAGATGCACTTTCGAATCGGCCTCGGGACGTGAGTTGAGCGTGCTGGCCAGTGAATTACCGTAGACAGAGCTGAAACCAGTAAATCCTAGTCCATTCTTGTAGACTCTGTCCGCCATTTTTGATGCGTGGACCAGATTCTGAGCGTCACTCGGTGTGGCGCATAAAAATGCATGACACTCGAGCACCTTCCGACCTTTCATTCTGCGGGTTATGGCCGCAAAGATAGCTGGCCTACGTGCATTTACGCCACCGGCCGCTGGCGAGTTCAGAGAGACGAATCGAGACACCTTGGTACCGAGGTTGTTCATAAGATGGATACAACGCACGGCAGCACAGAAAATTAAAGATGATATCGGAAAGCAAACCAAAGTTTTTGAATCTTCGCTGTAAGTCATTTGAATTTCGGACGGTAGAACAGCTAGTACAGCGTCCACTCCATTAATGCTTTTTTCATCGTCCACTTGGTAACGCTCCCTAAGAGGTTGTTGGATGGCTTCGATGCCCTTGGCTTTTTCAAGGGGGACAGCACTACCAATATAAAGTACGCGGCACTGGAATAGAGATTTTTCTCCGTCGATCACCATTTTGATGAGGAACAATTATCAGTAAGAACAGTAAAAAATTAAGATTTAAAATGAGGTTGGGTGAGTTTTCTAGTAACCTATAGTTTTCTTGAATTCAGCAAAATCTAAAAGTCAACAACACTGTTCCACTTTATCATTAAATTAATCTCTCTCTCATATATATATATATATATATATATATATATATATATATATATATATATATATATATATAAGATTTAACAAAAACGAGGTGAATAGATAGAATAAACTAGTTTAAGTCGTGGTGCGGCTGCTTTGTCAGTGTAAAAGGTATTCCATACAAATGTAGGTGTTTAAACGTATGTGTGTGTGTACGCAAGATCTTTTCGTGTTGTATGAGTAAGATAACTTTTTCTTTTTTTTTTTTTTTTTTTTTTTTTTTTACGTCACCTTTTCTTTTCTTGTATTTTCCTCTTTCTATCCGTAGTGATTTGCGTACAAGGTGCACTTTAGCGTTCCTCTCGGGTTATGCTGGCTTGGGATACAATTGAGGTGTATCAATGTTGCATGCTTAATGCCTCCGTGAAACAAAGTTGAACTGTAGAAACAAAATGTATAATCCAACTTGAGTCCATCTTTTTTCATTCCATAAAGTTTAAATTGATCTTCAAAACAAAATCATGACTGCAGCTCCCTTGAAAAAAAAAACGGCAAACGAGCCGCGACAAAAAGCTACGATCTCCGACGCGTTCTGTTTCAATGTGTGTATGTGCGTATTATCTCTCCAAGTCTCCTCCTTCCAAGTCAAGCCCGCTGACTGGCAACTTGATTGGTTACCTTTTTCTTTCTCTTTATCTAGATTTCGCTCTTCTTTCTTTCTTTCTTTACTCCTTTTTCTTCGTTTTAATCTTTTTTTCTCTCTTTTCACTCCTCTCTCTTTTTTGGTAGTGGTAGACTGGTGAGCATGAAAGTGAGAAAAAATCTCACCTCCCACTTTTCCCACCATATGTACAGGTAGGTACACAATGAAAGCAACAGGCGTTAATACCCTACCTGGCAGATGATGACGACTAAAGGAAACAAAAAATAATGTCGCTAACACGTGGATTTGGTTCAGGCGGTAAACGAAATGATTCTTATGTCTGGTTAATCACAGCAAAATATTTTTTAAAAGTATCTGGTTCAGGAGGGGGGGGGCTTATAAAGACCCCCATTTCCAAACAATCAGTCTTGTGTTACAAGCATTAACCCTTGAATTCTCCTTTATTTGCCGTATCTTTTCAGAACGCAGGCGGTCATGGCTCTCCACAATTTCCTGTCCTTCGCAGCTCTTAAACCTTGTTCCGCCATTCATTTACCCTAGCTCGCTTAGAATGTTATGCATTTTTCCTCTGTCCCTTTTGCCTTCAATTACGGGTCTTGGAACTATTACAGCGCCATGAATAGTTGGGGAAGTGGGGGGATGAATGTTGATCGGCCTATCCCAATTTCCCTGGTTAAAGACGAGAAACACTTAGAAGAAAACTCTTGGTTTAAAATTAAAAGAAAAGAATTATCCCCGCAGCATATGCACACAGAAATATTGATACCCGTTAAAAATTGATTAGCAACAACCACACACAAAAATGAGTTTTAAATACTCCATATATAAAGGACACCGAAAACAAATGAAAAAACAGACGATATTTATATTTTTCTGAAAGCTAAAAATATTTTACTTTTCTATCTATATCTATCTCTCTATATCTATCTATCTATCTATATCTATCTATATCTATCTATATCTATCTATATCTCTCTCTATATATATCTCTCTCTCTCTCTCTCTATATATATATATATATATATATATATATATATATATTCGTTTTATATTTTATAGTCATTTAAAGTCAGTTTAAGTTCTTAAGAAAAATAAATTTCTGTCGTGTTTCTTCTGTATAAGTGAGAATTTGTATGCGTGGGAGTTGTGTGTTTATTAGGGTGATTACTTTCTGGGGTTTATCTTTGTTACAGTTCGGGTCTCACAAGACACAGCGAGGATTCACTGGATTAAGTTAATAAGGGCGATATCGGCAAGAAGACTTTGCAAATGTGTATATAATGGCGGGTTGAAGAAACACCCATCCTCTTTACACACCTTCCCTAACATAAATACATTCATATCTAGGGAAGTGTACTTTTTTCTTTCAAACACTCACCCTCCTTCTCTCGTCTACTCTTTCTCTCACATTCTCTTTTACGCTCTCTCCCTGTCACACGCTCTTTCACTCCCTCTCTCTCTCCATTTCAGACCCTTTCACTCTCTTACACCCTCCCTTTCACGCTCTTACTCCCTCCCTTTCACTCTTACTCCCTCTTTCACGCTCTTTCACTCTCCCTTTCACGCTCTTTCACTCTCTCTTTCTCTATCTCCTTTTCACACCCTCTCTGTCTTCCAGACCCTCTCTCTTTCACTTTCACGATACCTACTTACGTCCATATATGTGATAAGATTTTTCGCATCCACACGCTCCTCTGTGCCTCTGTCAGTCTTTCTCTTTCGCATTTTATGCTTGAGTGTTTTATACGTGAGATTGTGGTTATATGAAAACTTGTCATACTAGTTTCTTAAATTCATACCATTTTTTCTTCTTCTTTTTACTGTCCTCCTTTAACTCTCTCGGTCCTTTTTGTCCTTTCATTTTTTCTTCTCTCTCATCGTGTGTATTGTTGAAACAGCTTATCGCGTCTCTCTCTCTATCTAATAATATATATATATATATATATATATACACACGCACACACAGGTACTTTTGCGCTCTCCCAGGTGTAACCATATATTTTTTTTCAATGGCCTTCATTCAATTCCCTGCCTCGTCTTTCTTCTATTACACCTACAACTGTTGCTATTACCTTTGAGAGAGCAGCGTCAAGGCTCAGCTAGTAAAGACGTCGTTTGCTTTAAGATAGACATCTACATTCCGAAAAACAAAATACCCTTTAAAAACTACAGTCAGTCTCTTGTCGTACTAAACTGGAGACCTTCACAATAATTCTAAACAATGTTAATTGTCTTTTCTCTTTCTTCCTCCCCTGGATGTGAGGGTGGTGTAATGGATAGTGGCACGAAATGAGAAATTGGAGAGCAGAGTTCCTATTTCAGTCGAGGTACATTCTCTTATACTCAAATACCCCTGGGTAATATATGAATAATCTACCCAACTATGGGTTAAATAGTAGGTGTTGTATCTGGAAAAACCATTATTCTCGCAAAAATATAGACTTATTCCTAAAATCGAAGAAAGTGTTTCGACTTAAAATAACCCACAAAGGGTTAATCAACAGTTTTTTTTAAGAAAAATGAAACAATTTTACTCTCCCAATTTTTCTCCCCTAGAGTTCTTTATATAAATCTCTCTTTTTGGACTTTGCTTTTTCATGATCTTTTTTCCTTCTCCCTTTATGTAATTGTCCTTTTCTTTCTTGACAGGAATTAAAACTGCAAACTGTTAATAATCTGGCTTCGCCTGGGGTAATTTCAAAATGATATTAAGCTCAAGCCGCAGGGGTCATCCCCACCGGCAGTACTTCTCCGTCGGGGAGTAGGGTCTGGGGACATTACCCGGAGCCTGAGGTGTCTCGCAAAATGGAAATGCCGAAGGGGCTTGAGCAATTATTCCACGGTATTGCCGTTAAATCCACTATAAACCTCAACTTTTTTTATATTTGGTAGCGACGTGGGCGCGCTGAAAAATCTACTTCCTCTGTTAGTTTTGTCGATTACTCTATAATTACAGACGACGATTTGAACACAATAAAAACTATGACACAAGAATATACACACACACATCATTATAACGGGTGTTCCAATAATTTGAACCGATTTTAAATGTGAATTAATTTTAAGCGACTAAAGATTTTTTTTCATTTTCTTTCAGATTTAACAACTTAATTCTGTGGCAATTTCAACCATGGAAAGATTAACAATTAAACATGTTAAAGTTATCGAAGCCTATTATGAAAATGGATGTTCAAACAGACATACATTTCGCGCACTTCGCAATTTTTTTGGTCAACATAATCGAGCAACCGAGAATGCGGCTGGAAAAATTGTTCGTAAATTCAAACAGACTGGGTCGGTGGCAGATGTAAAAACACCATTGCGTGCTCCTTTACGCTGTTCAGCTGAAAACATTGCTGCAGTGCACGAGAATGTGGCCGAAAATCCGCCCGCGGGAATTGAACCTCTCCACAATTCGTTTCCAATTGGTTGGTCGATTGTTGACCAAAAAAATCGCGAAGTTGGCGAAAAACATTTCTGTTTGAACGTCCATTTTTGAAATAGGCTTCGACAACTTTAACACGTTGTTTGATTTTTAATCTTTGCATGGTTGAAATTGACAAAGACTTAAGTTGTTAAATCTAAAAGAAAAAATCATTAGACGCTAAAAGTTAATTCATTTAAAATTGGTCCGAGTTATTGGAACACCCTTTATTACTAGCACTGCCCATGAATATCTCATGGTTTTCCTGGTGGATATGCAGGTGATGTAATGCCTTAGAGTAAGAAATCCCAGAGTTGAGTTCGAATTCCCGTCGGGTTTGTTACGTTCACTTACGCGCAGATACCCGTGCCAATCTAGTATTGCGTTTAAATCCGTGAAGTCAAGGTCCTACAGAGGAAAACTCACCAGAACAATTACTATAAAGATATTTATAGAAAAGGCACAAGGAAGCTACATTATGACGCTCGGTATGTGGCTGAAGCCTAGTTGTCAGCCCAGGACCGATAACATTGCAGATTCTTTTCATTTGCCAAGAATCTCTAGGTGTATAGGAGAAGACTAGACCAGATGTGGTAGCAATATTTGATGTACGAAGTAATGCTAGACTTACAAATGCGCAAGATAGATAAATAATCGGGAAGATGACATTTCAACGCATCTTTCTAAACGATTCGTTGGTTGATTATGAATTTTGAATTTTTTTCCAGTAAAAGTGAAAATGGTAGAAACTGAAATGAATTTTCATCATTTAACACGACGTAGCGTAATGGTTAGCAAGCTTGTCCCGCGAGGTCAATTACAACCGAATAATGAGTTCGATCCTCACTGGGTGCTCCACACTTTCGGTCTTTTGTCACATGTAAGCTACGCTTAGAAAACCACCATCATTTAACGCTTTTTTTTATTTCTGGAAATGGAAAAAAGTATAAACAGCCATAAAGATATGTATTTCTTTTACTTTCATAGGGTCTTGTTTTTGTTTGGGGTTTCACTATTTGCCATAGCTGGGGCCCTAACAGGTGCTACCACCCTGGGTCAGCAGCAATTTAGAGGTGGTTCTACATTCCTCAAAACATCCAATCTCCCAACCAGAGGCCTTGCTGCCAGGTGTAGTTTATCGTCATACCCAGGACTCACACGATACAGGACATCTCATATGAGCGTTGTAGGCATTTAAAAACAATTGGAATCCGTGAATCCTTACGATGTTTCAATGCCTCCGGATTAAACGGGGAAAAATTAATGGTCCACATTTCTATCAGCAATTCTCTGCTCAAACGCAACAAGAACGACCCATTTTGAAAGTAATGAGCACAAGTGATGAAAAGATTAGCAACCGTTAAATAATCCAAAAGCCGGTCTGCATCTGAAGATGATGTTGTGTATCCAGTGATAATAGTGAATAGGGGTAGATAGCTCCGTCTCTCATCCGATTCACACTCCCAGTGTTTTGAACAGGAGTAGTGGTTTATCCCTTGTTTCCTATTTAGGGCTCGGTTTCCGGTTCCTTCTAAAGTGTGTTTCAGATCTGTACCTCTAACGCTTGTCGTTTCTTACGCAACTCCACACTCTACTTTGAGTGGCTATTGGGCCTTGTATTGGCTGAACATTAGTTAAAAAAAGAAGTTCCCGTTAAACAAACTGTTACTGATTTCTAACTGAATTAATTAAAGGCAGCAACCGATGAAACCTGCCCGGAATTGGCTAATCGAAAAAGTGTCATCTTCCATTTAAGGTGACGCCAGACATCACCCGGCAGAAATTTGTACAATCTTACTACATCCACAATACTCACCTACATCTTTGGATTACTACTTATTTTGGTCCCTACAAAATTCTTAAACTGAGATCTCCAATTCTCAGAAAACATGGAAAACCACTTAGACCAGTTCGTCACCCAAAAAGATGCCAAGTTCTGAGAGGATGGAATCATGAAGCTGACTCAAATATTATGAAATGTAGTAGAGCAAAATGACAGATAATAAGTTGAATAGATTCATGTACAAATATCCAAATACTGACATTGAAATTCACTTGAAGAAGGCTATTAATTTTTGTTCCGACTACGTCGTTCAATAAAGTTAATATCAACAATCAAAAAAATGTATTTTTACTTAATCGAAAAAATTGGCAACTGATGTCATAAGATTTTCAGTCTGTTGTTAACAGGGGCAAAGAATGGCTTGTTTATTTTAACGCCTCCAAAACAAAAGTTCTCTCTATGAATCATTTTAGAAACCCCTTTCTGCCTTCCATCGGAATGGCCGATGCTAAACTTTCACGAGAATGACTAGTTGCGCTTTCACGGGCTAACATTTTCGGCTGACATGAAGTGGAAAGACTATATTGAATCTGTAGCGGCTGCTATGCCTTTCCACACCCACAATTTATTCGCCTGTGATTGGCTAGTAAATCAATACTGCTTTTCTATAAGACAATTTAGCGATCGCAGTCATCACTTTGAATTTTTCGGTCGTGAACTTGCTCACATGTTTCTTTAATACAAAATCAGTAATTGGTCAAATTTTAACCAATCAAACATTTTAATACTAAATCAGTTTTCCCGCGTTTTCGCTGGGAGCCTATCGGTAGCTTTAAAAGAAGCAATTTTTCGACAAGCCGCCAGCAAAGTCCAGCTATTTTCGCCTGTCCACACAAATCTGTGACTTTACACACAACATTTCAAACGCACACACAGACACAGATTTTTGTAACACATTATACATATCTCTCTGTGTGACTCAGCCAAGTTCATGAACCAGAACTCTATTAATTTCTCTAAACAACACATTTGTTAATTAAACAACAGCAGACTCTATTCCACATAGAATCTTGAACATTCTTATTCAAGAGAAACTCTTTCGAACATTCGATCATAAATCAGAAAACAGTTGAAGGGGAACAACTTTTTTTTTCTTAATCATTACACTTCATTGCATGATTGTTATATTTCAATATATATTTATTTGTTGATCCACAAGTGGAGTTTCGTTGTTTTTTCTTGAATCGTTAAATGTACTATAGATATATGCGCTAAGAACACGCACCACAAATCCATTACTTGGTCAGATGCCAAAAAAAGTTGAAATTGTTAGATGCAACCGCAAGTTCTATGCTACGTTTCTTCTCTCGTATTTCTCACTTGTTCACCTTTCTCCCAGCCTCTTGCTTTCGAATCAACTTTGCATTTAAATATTTGATGATCAATGTCAATCGTTCTTCTGTTCTATTGATTTCTGCTCTTTTAATGTTTTACTTTTTCTCATAGTCTTTCACACACGGTAAGCCCCGTGCGTCTTAGTTGCCTATTTGCCTTCTTTGT